AAAGCAAAAAAAAAATTCAATTGCTCTAGTTATTCACCAGATTACTATTCTATAAAACTTGAGAGCAAATAACTAAAAAAATAAAAAGTAAAATTAACAACTTAAACAAGAACTCAATCTCTAACTTGTGTAAGCAACACTATATTTATTCGTATGAGATTTCATATATAAAAACTGATAAGTTTGACCTCCAGCATCAAAATGGACCGAAATATTCTCTTTTTTTTTTTTTGCAAGGATAAACATTTTACACAAATACTTAAAAACATACCATATGTATGTTCTATCTCTATGTGCAAAAATGCTGTTAGAGTCGTGGAGGAGAATAGTGCTTAGAGCCCAAAAGAAAAAGTATGTTAACGGCACAAAATGAATGAGGAAAGTAAGAGAGGAGAGACGTACCAACATATAACGCATTGAACAAATGATGTTGATTTAGCTTGTAAATGACAAGTTGTAATCGCAGAGAGGGAAAGAATAAGACAACCAACCGTGAAAGAGATGAGAGACAGGTGAGATGTTTGATGAACGATGTGAACATTGAAGAATGAGGAAGAATACGACTATGACTTAGTGTTTTATTTTTATAAATGGGTAGTTTCCAATATAGTCTATATATACATATCTTTTAGAATTTTGATTACCAATCTAAACTAGGATTAAACTAGAATCAACCAATCTTTTCAGTGCCCAATCTTCAGGATCTATGATCAAACCATATCCTGTGGTTTGGTTTGATCTAAAAGGAATAAAAATTGATTTGATCCAATTTTTCAGTCTACACGAAATAATGTGATAGTTATTGATTCACTTGTATTTTTTTGAAAATTCTCTTTAAACTACTTAAGACTACTTTTTATTTAAGCTTCATGTGTCATTGATAAATTTATGGACCAAAATAGAGCGCTTAAAATATATGGCCTAAAATTTCATAGGGTTTACTTTCGTTATAGAGTTTATATAGATACCATTCATAAGTAAATTTTAAGGAGTGGTGGTATAACGCCACCTTCATATTGTCATTGGTACTATATTATTTTGAGGTATTAGCTGGCTTTTCCATTACGCACCTTAATTACACTTAATGGCTAGACTAGTTACTTTAGTAAGAGTAATGGAAAAATTCTTGAAGGAATTATAACATGTGGTTCAACTGTTGAATAAGCATTATGTTACATGAGATTATAAGCACTTTACGTACACATGTAGATTATAAAACACAAAACACATTAGTAGGAGTGTGCAAATTCTGATTTAAATAGAAAAATTTAATCGAACCAGACACATGTTTGATCCAATCTTCAATAACTCACTCGCATTTCAACTCTCTAATAACTCACTCAGTCACTCTTTACTCCAGTCTCCCGGCTCTCTCTCTGGCCTCTATTTAGGGCTCCACCTCCACCTCTATCTCTCTATCTCGTAGTTGTAGCCTCCTCACAATGTGATTATGTGACACGCCTTTTAGTTGTAGCCTTGCATTATACAAAATCACTCTCTACTCGTACTACATGCCTTCTACTTCTCATATTTGATTGTGCATCACTCTCTACTCATATGTCTTCTACTTCTCATATGTTGTCGTGTGTCACTCTCGACTACTCGTGCACCTATTTCTCATGAATCTTATGTGTTAAAAAAAAGAAAGATATCCAATCTTTCCAGTTTATACTATGATTATACCTGAAAATTTTGGTTTAAATCAAACCAAGATCATACATATTCTTATATGTTTCGATATTCAATCTAATATTTATAATTTTTTCAATCGTGGCCTAGTCTAATTCAGTTTAGTTTTAAACTATTATACACCCCTATGCATTAGTACCATAATCTTGTATATGTATGTGTGTATATATATATATATCATATGAGTACGAACACAAAATGGCTTATAAGTAAGATAATACTAACATAATATTGACAAGAGAAAAATAGCTAAAACTCACTATATATAAATCATAGACTATCGTCCTCCTCTCCCAATACTTGTTATAGCTTACTAATATATCAAGGAATTGATGCCTCCCAAATCAGACTTGAGGAAGATTCGCATTTCTTGCGGGTTTAAGCAGTAATGCACATGTTACTTTGATTATAGGACACATATTCTATAAAATACATTACCTCTTCTACTAACTCAATAAAAACTCCTACCAAGAATTGGAAAATTACATGAAGGTGTTGAACAATCTCTTTAAATGAGATTAAAATAAAAATATTTGGCAATTAAATAGTTATGTTTGCACCAGTTTGGGAGAAAATGTTATATTTCTTATTATGATATGTAATATATATAATACAACTCATGCTATAGATAACTACAAGGTAGGAAATCGAAGAGAAGAGATACATGATAACTACAGATTGTTATATGATAAGCATAAAAGGAGTAGTTGACAGAAGGTAGATGTCTTTAACACCCCCCAGCAAGCCCATGCTTCGAAGACTGCAGACAAATCTTATTACGGATGAACAGGAAATGATCACGAAGGAGGGGTTTGGTGAAAATATCAACAAGTTGATCCTTGGTGGCTAGAAAATAGATCTGAATATTGTCATTTTCTATTTGCTCTCAAACATAGTGATAGTCGAGCTCAACATGCTTGGTGTGAGCATGAAGAACAGGATTGACAAACATATAAATGGCACCAATGTTATCGCACGATAAAGTAGCTTTGTTGGATGAAAGAAAACCAATTTCTCGCATCAGCCCCTGTAACCATAGCAGCTCAGAAGTAGTGTTAGCTATAGCCTTGTATTCGCTCTCTGTAGAGGAACAAGCAATGGTGGGTTATTTCTCTACAAC